GTTTATTTGCCCCCTTAAAATTTAATTAAATTGAATGCTAATAATACTTTTCATTATGAAGGTTTTAAATTAATAGATTTATTAATAAGTTACATGTAACAGAATTACATTGCCTGCAATGTGTATTTTTTTATTCTGGAAACACATGTATAAACAATATTTTTAAATTGTGGCAGTGAATACTTTGTAACACAGTAAATTCAAAAAATATTTTCTTTAAGAAAATGCAGTGCTCGATTAATGTACATGATATTTCATCAACAAATTGCACATGCGCAGGAACTTAAATAATTAGTTTATAATAAAATATAAAAAAATACCAAAGTACTAAGTAACAACATGAAAAAATTAGTCTTAATTTACAGTACCAAATGCAAGTTATCTTGACTTTATACTTAAAGTATTTTTCCTAAATATCAATTGTTATACTGTCATATGTATAAAGATTGAATACTTTATTATTGAAGACCTTCAAAAATACTAAGTAAGTCAGTTTGTGTTTCAGTGTGACTAGTTTGAGTACTTAACCAGGAACGACATGCACTCATTGAAATGTTGCATCCTGTTTCACATATCAAGGATTTTGTTTGCGTTTCGGCAGAAACAGTAGTATCCTCAAGTTGAGTCCAAGGTGTTTGTGTTTGAATATTAGATAATCCTAGATCAGTCGGTAGTATTTCATTACATGTTTGCGTGCATGTATTACTGTATAATAGCTGTTCCATGTTATCAAGATTATTTGTAGTTTGTGTTTCAATAGTAGAACTTAAAGCAAATGATCTGGTTAAAGGATCTGAATCAAAAAATGATTGTGAATAAGCTTGTTCTGTCTGAGTCTCTATGCTGCTAAACTTATCATCAAAAGTTTTGTCCGTAAGCATGGGATCTGATCGTGATATGCCATTTGAGGACACAAAAGAGTATTCTCCAACAACTGTCGACGTTTCTTCAACATAAGGTAAAGTCATTAGAGCAACTGTGTTCTTTGGAGTACATTGTATTAATGAATTTGGACTATGATCATAAAATGTTTCAAATTCTGTTTGAGTGACATTATCATTTAGAACCTCAAACATGTCTTTTTCAGGTATTGTTTGAGTACCTGATGTACTCTTATCCTCCCAAAAGTCTTGCAATCCATCATCATGACGAAGTGGTAATGGACTGCTAGGGAATAAATTTGAAGATGTAAAGTTGCCAAGATTAAGGTCTTCCTTTAACAATGTATAATCAGAATTTTGGGATACAGAATTTTTTCTGTGCTTTTGAAGCCTCAGTGAATTCTTAAATGTTTGCGAAGCTTCTATTGTTTGTGTTTCCATAGACATTACATTTTGTCTAATTCTTTGGGAAATGCTTGTCTGCGTTTGTTTAGATATTCCACGCTTTCCATTGTGATAATGACTATTGTTGATATGTTTCAATGGACTTGATATTCTTCTATTTCTTTTATATTCATCTGTTTGTATACCAATATCTGATGTAACTTTTTGCGTGGAATTATTCTGACTGGATATTCTATTCTCATTTTGATTTGTTGGTAGTATTGTAACTAATTTATTTACTTCTGATTGACTAGTTGATAAAATCAATTTCATTGTCTTAGAATTTGTGCGCCTGTGAAGGTATTAATAATTGTGATATACATTAATGATATTGTATTTGAACATGTCAAATAACAAGTTATTAAAATATTTATCTCTCATTAACAACTTACCTTAAAGAATTTTTATATTTGTCATTTATAGTATGTAAAGATCGTTTTGCATGTGTGAGTAATGCTTCATAAGAAGTGTAAGATTTTGAACAGGAACATGTAAATTCAATTCCACATACTCTCATGTGGCCTTCTTTAGCTGCTTCAGTAGAAAAACTTTTGTTGCATCGCGTACATGCATATGTTTTCTTTGCATGTACTTTAAGATAATGCTAAATATGTATTGGAACATTAAATTTTATGTCATAATTGAGACTTTTCGTGTAATTTTACAATGTAAACACTAACCTGTTTAAGATATTTCATAGTACTGAAATGTCTTTCGGCTGTTGGAGCGTAAATACAAGTCTCCACCGGACAATGGTATTGTACATTTTCTTTTATTGTTTTATCTAAATTTTTACGTTGATGCACTTTAAGATCGTGTAACCGATATCGCGGCTCATTTTGAAATACGACTCCGCACTTGTCACATTTGACGTTGTTCGTGATCACACTGAGTTCCTCTGGTGACGGACAGATAGTTTTGACACATTTTGAGACATTTCCTGCCGGTTTTATTTTTTCCATTAGAGGTTATCTTTGCGCGACAGTTAAACATGTATACAAACTACCGCCGCTGTGACTGGTCCAATCGATCCATGCATAATTTGTAATTTCTTGGAACACAGCGCCACTGTGTTTTACCGAATTGTCGTCAAAAACTTTAAAATTGAAACTCAAAATTTAATCTTTATTATTAGGTTGTCCGGAAATAAATTGCGGTTTCTGTACATGAGATTTAAAGACGTGTAGTTTTGCTTAGAATGAATTTATTTAATCGAAATAATTTCCATTAGATTCTATACACTTTTTCCAACATTTTGCAGGAGTTCCTATTCCATTACAATAAAAATCAGGAGTTCTAGAATTAATAAATTCCACGAAGGTATTTACAGCATCTTCTTTATTGCGGAAGATTTTTTCTCGCAAAAAGTTATCGAAATGTTTAAAAAAATGGTAATCTGTAGGGGATAAATCGGGGGAATAAGGAGGGTGTTTTAATGTTTCATAACCCATTTCGTGTATCTTCCGAATCGTGAATTGTGATACATGTGGGCGGGCGTTATCGTGTAGGAGTATTGGCCCCTTACGATTTACCAAACTTGATTGTTCAACAAATAATTTTTTATGCATTATAATCATTAGTTGTGCTTTCACCGAATACATGATTGACATTGCGGGCAGTTTCCGCGGCTTTACGTCCTAATTTAAATTCATATAAAAATATGGTACGAATTTGCTTCTTGTCCATTGTTACGTTTTTAAGTTATACACAGAACAAATGACGGTAAAAAATAAAAGTGTATCGCTTATATT